GGGGAGGGGGCAGGGGGGGAGGGGGCAGGGGGGGAGGGGGCAGGGGGGGGAGGGGGCAGGGGGGGGAGGGGGCAGGGGGGGAGGGGGCAGGGGGGCAGGGGGGGAGGGGCGTGAAGGGAGTTGGGGCGACTTCGAACTCATCCACGACCAAAATGTTGTCCTTGCACCCCGCGCACCTCCGTTTAGTACGGTCAGCTACGTACGGTGCGAAAGAAGTTCAACGTACATGCACGTCCGCTGCTGCTGTTGTTGTTTGCGAGGCGAGAATCGAACACGCGTGGCCAAGGTCGCAGCGTAGTGCGCTAACCGCTGGATCACCTCTCCAGGGACAAAGGGGGGGGGGGGAGGCGTAGTGGTGGCGAGATGTTAACTCCCTCGCCTGGTATGCAGGAGGTCGTGGGTTCGATCCCGACGCTGACGCCTGCTTTCGTGTTCGCTCTCCGCGTGGTCGTGTGGATTTTTCTCCGGGTCCTCCGGGTTTTTTTCCCCCAAAACATTTGGAAACAAGCGTTTTAGATTGATTGTTTGGCTACGATGCATATCCACTCGGTTGAGCTATCGTTTGTGGCCAAGTCGCTTCTGATAAATAGCGATATAACTGAGCGGACCTTACCTAGTCAAATAAAAAAAAATAGTTAGTGAAAGATTCCCCGATTGCATGAACAGACTGATAGCGCACGTGCTGCTAACGGACACCTGATGAAGTTCGTCACGGAACACGAGGGAGTGGGTGGCCAGCACCACGCCCGACCGCCTTTGTCTCCCCAGTGGTGATGTTTACACACCGCATTAGGTACTCATTTGAAGCTGAGTCGACCTATGGGAGGCCCAGGACCGGTTCAGATAATCGTCACTGGTGTTGGCCATGAGCGGGAATCGAACTCGGGTCGCCAGGTTCATAGCGCTGCGCGCTAACTGCTACACTACCACTCCCCATACGTACAGACACACACACACGTACATACACGCGTAGCACAGACATACACGTAACAAATGCAAGCACTTGTTAGCAGACTCACAGACGAGTGTATAGAACAGCCACCCAAACACTAACAGAGCGCACGTGTGCAAATAATATTTGCAGACCCCTTGGACTCGTAAATATGTATTTTTTGTGGAATGATATTTTTAAAACCGTGGCTGGGATACATGAGTGGTTGAGGGGATGAGTGGGTGCAGGTGATGGCGGGGTGAGAAGGTGAGTGTGTAAGAGGGTAAGTAGTTAAGTGTTTGGGATGTGACGGAGTAAGTGGGTGAGGGTAATATGGGATGAGTGTTTGAGCGTTGTTAGTGCGTGTGTGTATATGGGTGGGTGAGTGTGTGTGTGTGCAAAACGAGTGTGGGTGAGTGTGTGTTTGTGCCGATGACTGGTACCAGCGGTGTAAAGATCGGCCTCTGTGTAGGAGGCTCGTGAAGGACGCTACTGGGCAGTTGGAGGCAGTCGCCCTCCAACAACAACGGAGGGCGGAGGAGCGACGCTCACAACAACGAGCGGAGCGCCGGGTGGCTAAAGGACAGCAAGTTGGCACAGTAGGGGGCACAGGTGGTGCATCAGCCACCTATCTCAGTCAGTCGACCTGTGGCACCTGGGTCTGCCCCGTGACCTCCTGCCAGTGGGCGTTCGACACTTCACGTGGTAGCCTCAACGTGCACATAGCCTGGCACAAGCGTCATGGTGACGTCACCGCCACTTAGTGGCGAATGTCGCTTGTTGTTTGTGTGAGTGGGTTGATGGGTGAGCGGGGTGCGATCGTGTAGTGATTAGCGCACTGCGCTAACGAATTGTGTCATCTGAGTTCGATTTCGTTTCACAGCCATCATCAGTGACACATGACTAGGTTAACTAGGCCTAAAATGTGTACCTAATATTCTGTGTAAACATAAGCCAGTGCCGTTGATTGTCCACCTCTACTTCGAGACCGCCATCGAAGCCAGCCACCGCACAACGGCCGCGAAAAGAATGCGGCCCCATGTCGACTGATATCGAAAGCCAATCGGGATTGTTGTTCACAGGTTAGCGCTTGCATGGGAGACCGTCTGGCAACGCCACGTGTTGCAGACTGGGAATAGGAGGTCGTCAGAAGATGGGCAGATCAGATCAACGGATTCTGTAAACGGATCCGTGCGGAATGTTGAGTTGCCTCCCGTTGCGTGCTGGGGTTTCTCCCGGTTGTCTCCGGTTTCCTCCCAGAGGGATCCAAAGGCGACACGTGATTGCAACTGGCCAAACACCCCTAATTGCATGACTTTCCTGAAAGAGAGAAAGAGAGAGAAAAAAGAGTCTTGATATTCGGTGCGAATTTCTTCTGGGTAACGAGCGGCCACGATTAGTCGTCTTCACGCGAGTTTTTATTTATTTATTAAACGAGACGTGACGCAGCGCAAAAACGGCTCGGCAGTTGCCTGCGGACTTTGAAAAAGAACAACCATCATCATCATCAGCAGCAGCAGCAAAAATAATATAGTAGCGATGGTGCGCTGCGGTGGCACCAAAAGCATCAGCCTCAGTGACCTCTTGACCTTGAGGAGCGACGCAATCGTTCATCTGACACCATCGAGACCTCGTGTGGCCTCGGGGACGTCACCGGGGCAATGCCGGTGCCACGCGCTGGCTCGCACATTCCCGACCATCATGTCGGATATAACCATAACATTCGCCGATTGGTATAAATTCCTGTTCTTCCCCAAAAAAAGAAATGTATATAATGAACCCCCCTTCGCCCTTGACAAAGTTCCTCCTGCAGCGGATGTGGCCGGTGGACGCCACGCGTGCGAGCTGATAAATTAGGTGTGGTTGTTAAATAGGGCTGACAACCGCGGTCGGTGACGCGGGCGATTAGTCTCGCAAATTTCACAGCGATTACAAACAATGTCCAGTTGCAATAACGGGACCTTCAAAACACATGTCCATGAAAGTCCATTCACCTTGCGCTCCCTCCCCCTATCCTCCCACTCCCCCCCCCGAATGTCAACTTTGCTCTTTATAAAGGCATCGCCAGCGCGCGACGTGCTCTGTAAAAGGCCGGGTTCAAGGCGCTTGTCCCCACCTGTGTGTGTGTGTGTGGCATGAGGACAAATTGCGTCTGGCGCGCGCGTGCCTCTGTGGAGGGAACGCGTGGACGGCACGCGTGTCGGGGTGCGTGCGTGTGTGTGTACACGCGTGTGCGCGTACACGCGTGTGTGCGTACACCTGTGTGCTTTGGGGGGAGCGGTAGCCTAGTGGCTAGTGCGCTGGGCTACGAACCTGTCGACCCGGGTTCGATTCCCGTTCACGGTGACGATTATCTGTACCGGTCTTGGGCCTCCTCTAGGTCGACTCAGCCTCATGATTACCTGATGCGATGTGTAAATATCATCAGTAGGGAGACAAAGGCGGCCGGGCGTGGTGTTGGCCACCCACCCAGTCATGTGCCGTGCCAGCCTTCATAGGTGTTCGCTAAAAGCACTTGCCCTCACAGTCTGTTAAAGGCTATATGGGGGACCTTTGTGTGTTGGGGTAGTGTACTGTAGTGTTTAGCGGGCTGCGCTACGAACCCGGCGACCCGAATGATCCTCTCGCTTGCGCCCAACATCGACGAGGAATATCAGAACAGCTCCTGTCCCTCTGCACGAGGTCGACTCGAGATGAAATGATTCGATGCTGCGGCGTGCAATACATCAGCATTGGGGGAAACAAAGGCGGTCGGGCATGGTGCTAGTCACACGCCACCAACCTTACGGCGGCCCTGCCGGCTTGCGAGCAGCACTTGGCCCAGCAGTCGGTGAAACTTTGATACGGTGGCTCTTTGTCTCTCTCTGTTTTGCATTGAATCTGTGTGCGTGTGGAACGCACTTACGCCCTCTGATGACATTGGCGCACATCCCAACTCTGTAACCAACAACAACATTTGTGGGCTTCTAAATTGAATACCCCCGTCCCCCTCGGGATGTATTTTATTTTTAAGTTAAAAGGGGGCTGTTGTCACTTTACAAAATCGGCCTTTTAATTAAGTCTGATGATGTTACACCCTCATTAGTCCTTCCTTCGCGCGATGCCAAAATCATTTCCTACTCTTGTTTGTCTCGCGTCTGAGCGATGTCTCCCGAGATCGTGGCTTGTCTCGCCGCGTGGGAATGACAGTGGGGAGGCCTCCCGACAGCCGATAGTTAAACCAAGGCGCTCGAATCGCGCTTTGGTCATCCCTTACCACGGTCCGGAATTGTCCGAACGTCGTTCCGGGAACTATGTTGGCGCCCAGTCACATCCGTCTCCCCGGTTTCTTCTTTTTTTGTCCTCACGATGGGCGTCGTTTATCCCTCGTTGATTTACAGGATTATCGTGGAAATTATACGAAGCTAATTATTGTTTTTGCTGACGCTACTGCATTTGGCAGTGGTGCACACACGCACAAATAACAACAAAGACGCTTGGTTTTAAGTGCTATGTAGGGCACGGCCGTTCACATCTCTCACTGTGTGGGCCCCCCAACGCCTTGAAATTGAACCGGCAGCATTGCATCTGACACCGTGGCGTCCAAGCGGACCCGCCCCCCAAAGCACGGGGCCCGGGGCGGTCGCCCCGACTCGCCGTATCCGAGGGACGGCTCTGATGAAGGGCCATTGCTCGAAACGTCGCCTATGATGTGCGTCTCCTTTTAAGGCCACGGTGTTATTGATGAATGTTGAGTTATTTGTGCAATATAGGGTTGAAATGGATAGGCGTATGTATTATGTTGAACTTATTGATGGATGTATTTCTTCATTGATTGACACATTGATCGATTACGTATCTAATGTATGAATTGATTGATCCAAATTGTTTGGCGGATGAATTCCTTTATACATTGCATTGATGAATTGACTGGTGATGCACTCAATGATGGATTAATTGTTTTATGAATATATTGATGATTCGATGGATCGATCCAGTGATTGATTAATGAGTTCAACAGCTGATTGACAAGCACATCACACATCTCCCCCCTCCCTCCATCCCTCCCTCCCTCTGTCGCGCTGCACAGTGCCGCGTGAAACAGTGCCACAATGAGCTGGGGCTTCCTGACGCGTCTCCTCGACGAGATCAGCAACCACTCGACCTATGTGGGCAAGATATGGTTCACCGCCTTCCTCATGTTTCGCATCATCCTCACGTGCGTGGGCGGCGAGACCATCTACTACGACGAGCAGAGCGCCTTCGTGTGCAACACCAAGCAGCCGGGCTGCGAGAACGTCTGCTACGACGAGTTCGCGCCCCTGTCGCACGTCCGCTTCTGGGTCTTCCAGACCATCATCGTCGCCGTGCCGTCCATCGTCTACCTCGGCTACGCCATGCACAGCCTGAGCCGGGCAGAAGAAGCCCGGGGGAGCGTCGCGCCAAGGAGCAAGAGCCGACCGGCGATGGGCACCCATCGGGCTCAGCACCGCCACATCGAGGAGACGGAGGGCGACCACGAGGAGGACCCCATGATCGTCGAGGTGGCCGACGAGGACGCGCCCAAGGCCTCCGCCAAGGGCGGCAAGGGCGGCAAGGAGGAGTCGCCGCCGCCCTCGAGGCACGACGGGCGCAGGAGGATCCGCCAGGAGGGGCTGATGAAGATGTACGTGGTGCAGCTGCTCATACGCACCGTCTTCGAGGTGGGGTTCCTCTGCGGGCAGTACTACATGTACGGCTTCGCGGTCACGGCGCGCTTCGAGTGCACGCGCTCCCCCTGCCCGCACCGCGTCGACTGCTTCGTGTCGCGCCCCACCGAGAAGACCATCTTCCTGATCATCATGTACTCCTCCGTCACCTTCTGCCTCCTGCTCAACTTCTGGGAGATGCTGCACCTGGGCCTCGGCTCCATCCGGGACATCCTGCGCGGCAAGAAGGAGCAGCAGCAGGAGGAGCAAGAGCGCCAGCAGTTGGCCCTGAGGCAGCAGCAGCAGTCCTTCTACCAGCAGCAGCAGCACCAGCAGAAGCACCAGCCGCCGCCCCAGCAGCAGCAGCAGCAACTACAGCAGCAGCAGCAGCAGGAGCAGCCGTTCCCCATGAGCCCTGCGCCTTGCTACAACCAGCACTACCCGCGGCAAGCACCGCACGCTCCGCCCGTCTACGACTCCCTGCACGCGGCGGCGGCGGCGCAGTTCCCCTCCAAGGTGCCCGACGGCGGTCGCTCGATGGTGGCCAGCGTGCCGCAGGGCCTCTTCCCCGCGAGCATGGAGAGGCAGCAGGCGGCGGCCACGGACGGCGCGAGTTGCGGTCCGGCGCGCACGACGGCGCCCGCCGGAGACGTCGGTCCGGCGCCCGCGACGGCGTTGCCACCTTCGTCGCCGGCCGCAGCGTCCCCGTGTCCGGGAGAGGCGGCAGGACGGGGGTTCCACCCGTCGGCGAACTCCTACTCCTCCTCCCGGCCCAGTTCCCCCGCGGGGTCAAACAACAGCGCGGCTGCGGCGGCACAGAACCGGGTCAACTTGGCATACGAGCAGCAGCAGCAGGCGCAGCAGGTCGCTGCTGCCACCGCCGCAGCAGGAGGTGCCGTGGCGGCCAACGGCTGCGTCAAGACGGCAGCCGGGGGGGACAAGCAGGGCTCGGTGTGGATTTAAGTCGGGGGGGGGGTTGTTGCGCTTGAGGGTGACGGGTGGTGGAGGGGATGGGTGTAACCATCTCTCTCCCCCCACCCCGAACCCCTCCACTGCTCTCGACATCTCTCCCTCCCTCCCCAGCCTCTCCCCTTCGACTATCGCCTGCCCCCCCCCCCTCACCCCACCTTCCCCAAACACACACAGCAGCCTGGATGAGTCTGAGTCTTGCCTTCTACTTAATGCTGAGGATTTTAGAAGGGGTGGTGGGGAGGGGGGCGCGGCGGAGTTCGGAGCTGATTAAGAAGTTGGTTTCGGTAGAAATGTAGATTTGTTGTCACCCGTCCACCACAAACCGGTGGCCTCTCACCGCCTCCGCAGCCCCCCCCCTCCTCCCCCAACTCCCCCATCACCACGTCCCCCCCCCCCCCCAACTGGGGAATGAGCTTCTGATGTGCGCCTCCCTCTCCTAGGGTCGTGTGGTGGTATTGTTGTTGGCTATGGTGTTGGTGGTGCCAAGTCTCGTGATGGCGAAAATGATATTGGTGGTGGTGCTGATGTGGTGATGGTAGTACCGGTACTGTCGTGATGCTTGTGGGGTGATAGATGTGGTGGTGGTGGTGGTGGTGATGCTGATGGTGTGGATATTGGTAATTGATGGCAGTAGTAGTGGTGGTGATAGTGGTGGTGGTGGCGTTCGTGGTCGTGAGAAGTCGCCCTTCAACAACAACGGATGGCAGAGGAGCCACGATCAAAACAACGAGCGGAGCAGTCAACCCATAACACCCGGGGCTGTCACGTGACCTGCCGGCAGCGAGCCTCCCACACTTAACGTGGCCGCTACGTGCACCTAGCCTGGCACAGGAGCCGTGGTGATGTCACGGCCGCTTCGTGGCGACTGTTGTTGGTGGCTGTTTGGTGGTGGTGCTGCTGATATTGGTTGTGTTGGTGGTGGTGCTGATATTGGTTGTGTTGGTGGTGGTGGTGCTGCTGAAATTGGTTGTGTTGGTGGTGGTGCTGATATTGGTTGTGTTGGTGGTGGTGGTTGTGCTGCTGCTGATATTGTTTGTGTTGGTGGTGCTGCTGATATTGGTTGTGTTGGTGGTGGTTGTGCTGCTGCTGATATTGGTTGTGGTGGTGGTGGTGCTGCTGATATTGGTTGTGTTGGTGGTGGTGGTGCTGCTGCTGATATTGGTTGTGTTGGTGGTGTTGGTGGTGATGTGAGCGCGACCGCTAAACCCATCACAGCTGTCACTCGCAGCTCTGCGTAGCACGGTTCGCAGGTCACTCGTACTTGGGCCAGCTCGCGAGGCTTCGTGCCGCTGGACGGAGTTGGACGGAGCCGAGGTTAAGCGCAGGAGGGGCAGTGTGAGGGCGGGAGACGGCCACCGAGTCATCCCATGCCTTGCCAGCTTCTCTGACCTTCCTCCCCCCTTTATTGCAACGCTGTCATCGTCACCACTACCACGACCACCACGTGCGCAGCTCCTTACTTGACATTCCAGAGAAAGTCGTGCCATGTTTGAGTGGCGTTCTTTATCAATACGCAGCAGCAGCAGCAGCAGCGAACGAAGGTGGTTTGTGGATAAGCTCGTATCTATTACATCTTTAATAGTGCTTTTTGTTGCTGGTCGCTTGGCGTTTTGCGCTTTTTTTTGGACTGTGTTCAGCAACCGCGATAGAATAAATCGTCGGCCTGCGTAGGGAGACGCAATTGCATTTGTTCGCGCGGAGACGCGTACGGTTTTAGCCTTCGCAAGTTTTCTCCTTTTTTTGTTGTTGTTGGGATACTCGCTCTGTCCGCAGCCGAGTCGGTTGCATGATTCGCCTGCGTGCTGTTCGTACGGCAAACACACATTGTTGTGTGCGCGCACGTGCAGCCTGCCCTGAGTGGAACGAACGTCCCGTACCGAGCTGGCAAGTTCTGTTCCGCTAAGCCTCAAACACGTTCGCCGCATCTCGCCATCCAACGAATCGTCGACATTCGCTTCGACGACTTGTTGGATTTTCGACGCGTGCCTAGCTTGAGCTGAAGAATCGATGGTGGTCGATACATCGATGATTGTTGCACCCCCGCTTTTGAAGCTTCGATGGCCCCCTGAATGAAAACATTCCCTGCCCATGTCATCAGCCCCACTGTAATCTGTTCCCCCCCCCCCCACTCGCACCACGCTCGCCTCCGTTCACAGCCGTGAGGCCGGTGGTGGAAACTCCACGTGAGTATGGCGGGGGCCAGTCATTCCACGTCCCGGTGTGAAATCCACAATTACGATGCCGCGCTCCGGCACGCGAGGGTGACGCTCGCTCCCAGCACCCCCCCGCCCCCCCCCCCCCCCCACGTGTCCCCATGCTCCTTGCTCCCCGTGCCGCGAGGCGCGTGCGCCCCCGTGTCTGCCACTCCGTGTCCCCATGCTCATCCTGCACATCGTGCCATCGTCGTTCCTCCATGGCACACGAGGAGGTGGCCTGCCCAAAACCCTCATTTACCTCGACTGCTAGAATTTGTATGTTTACCAGGTAAGCCTCCCTGAGCTACATACTCTTTTTCAGAAGCGGGAAAAAAAACAAATGATAGCTCAGCGAAGTGGCTTATGTATAGCGGCCAAATACTCAAAACGTGGAGGGGAAAAGCCGGAGAACCCGGAGAAAAATCCACGAAACCACGGGGAGATAAACATGCAAACTCCAAATTATACAGGCGTCAGGGTTGAGATCAAACCCACGACCTCCTGCATATCAGGCGAGGGAGTTAACATCTCTCAGAGTCCATGCGATTGTCGCTCTGCGTCACGTGGCCCTCTTCCTGTCTCTTATTTCCCAGCATTCCAACCCCGCCGTGCTTCTGTGCGCACTCGGTCCCATTTACTTTGTCAACGTGTCCATGTTTCACATCCGTATGGCGTCGCAGCCAACATTCGTGCAATTATGCGCACGTGATCGCGATCACCAAACGAAGGGCATATGTTATGTATGTTAAACTTCTTTCGCACCGTACGTAGCCTACCGCACTAATCGCACGTGACTGGTGCTGAATGGGAGCTGGGTGAGCTCGTAACGGAGTGCTGTTGTGGAAAGTGTGACATCGCGATCGGTCTGGCTACTCCACGTTCACGGCAAAGGGGGTGCAGGGTCCTTACAGCGGAGGGGTCCCGCGTTACTTGAAGTAAGGTTGTGGGCCCCTAGGCCGCCCCCCCCCCCTCACCCCTTCGAGGGGTGCGGGGGGGGTCCGACCCTAACCCCCAGACAATTGCCGAGTCCTTGGCGAGTCGAGGAAGCGGAGCGCCTGTCTCGGGATGCAAACTTGAGCGACCAGAAGTCGCGCGTCGGCGGTAGCTCGGCGACACGAAGCGAAAGAAGATTCTTGAAAGTTCTCCCAAGAGAAGAGAGAACTCGGACCGAAGGGCCCCGCAAAAACCACGCTCGCCGCCCCCCCCCCCCCCCCCCCGCTGCCTTACCCCACGCGTCGCGTTACACATTCTTACACTTTCTGAAAGCAAGACTCAAACGACAAACAGCTCTGGTAGATGCACACTTTAGGCTGCGTGTCAAACATCGTTGACGTTGCGTTTTAATGACGGAGGACCAAAGAAGAAAGCGACGTTCAAGTTAGGGTCTTGCGTCACGTCGCTCAACGGACGTGTTCAAACACACGCGGGTAACGTTGTGGTGTTATCAGGACCATAACTTTGAACGGCCGCATTTTTCCCGATGATGAGACGCTCCGCTAAAGTTAAGAAGCGCCACAAAACGAATGCTCGGTGTCGATGAACATCACCAACTCTGGTTCCCGCAACCCACACCGGATTTGAAGATGCACCTCAACGTTGCTTTGAAACACATGGGCAGAGTGCGTCTTATCGTCTGGAAAAGTCGGTGATAGGGAGCTCTCTGAGCAGTTCTGTCTCGACGCATCCATCCCACGTCCACTGTCTGAGAGCTATACGCTTGGTTCTTTCGGTAAAGTCACGTATAAGGGAATATGAATCCCTGCAGTCACGAAAGCTTTCAATGTCTGAGAGCTGTTTGTTATGGGCCGCGTCTTCTTGAATTACACTTTGTGTCCACTTGTTTGTCACACGTCTTTAAACATTTCATATCATCTTAAGTTTATATTATTGGGGTTTTTTTGTTTGTTTCAATAGTATTATTTTTTATTCCCCACAAATGTATCGAAAGAAACAAACGGCACGCGGCGTTTTGCTTGGCCGCAACGGCAAAGACAGCGTGAGCTTTACTTACTTCGCAGCGTCGAGTTTCACTCCCCAGAGCATTTCAATCAAAAGCACGTGCTCGCATTGTGACCCGTTTCCGTGCGTCACGTGTCCACGCGTTTCCGGTGGTCGGTCGTCACGTGTCCACGCGTTTGTCGTCACGTGCCACGCGCACGCAATTCTCGGTTGTTATTGTTGTCTTACAAGGTGCCTTTAAGAGTCGAGATACTTGAATTTATATGCGTTTAGCTTTGTCGGTGCACATTGATAAGTTTAGACACCCAACTCGCTTCGGGTGAGTGGCGATTCTGAATAGGGGAGCCCTTTGGGTGGGGGGGCAATACCCCCCCCCCCCAAACCTACCCACACCACCCCCCCACTCCCAGGCCATATTCGTGTGCCCCCACCTCCCAACCCCATATGCCCTCCATTCAGGGGCAGCTCCTCGGGGTGGCTGGGCAGGCACCCAAGTTAAAGTTCAAATTGTTCATCGTGGACAATGCCGGCACACCTGGCCAGTCGCTTCCTTCCTTCTGCCAGATTGCTCGTCAGCCTCACGGTCAATGTGCCCTCTCGCAGTCTCGCCCAACTCCCGCAAGGAACTTCGCCGCCAGCTTGTGGGGCATTAGGCGTGTAACGATGATTCCCTTCCTGGCAGGTTCGATACATTCACCACAATTAAGGTGACGACTCAACAATCGATAACTTGTCACTGCGACACACGCATTTATCCCTCGCGGATGTCCGGGATGATTCGAAGGTCGTCGTTTCTGACACGCGTGGCTATGCGCACACGTCGTGAGCCGTAACAATCGATTTTAAATCGACGAATCGATTGACCGTTACGTGCCTGGTGGGTATTGGATGCCCTCCTCCCACCTCGGCCGTTTGTTTTAGAATCGCCACCGCCACGTCTGAGCGAGATGGGGTTAGAGGTAGGGCTATAAGTCGGCACTTGCGCCTGTTGGCTGACGGTGGAGGGCAGCCCGTGCCCTCGCAAGGAGGTCGTGTGGGGGGCCCTACATGGGTCGGGGGTGGTGGGAGGGGGGGGGGGCACAGCGACACTCGGATAGTTGCGCAGTGGGTGAGCAGAGGGGTTCGCGGTGAGTGGAGACGGAGTCACGGGGGTCGGACTGCTCATTGAGGTTCATTGTCCAAATCCTTAATGGAGAGATTCCTTCATTGGCAAGGGAACTCCCACGGAGATCATGCTGAACAGAGAGCGCTCTTGGTAGCGTTTCCATAGCAGAGATTCCTTGATGGAGAAATGTATGTTCTGGCCTGTTGAACTAGGCCTGAATAGAGACATATTCCTTGATAGCGAGATATCTGTTTACAGAGAAACCGTCCATCGTAGATACAGGGAGAGAGCTTTCTCACTTGATAGAGATACACACATTGATTATATAGATACTTCATAGATAAGTACCACTTAATAGAGACATACTTTCTCTTACAAAGATATAGATGATTCAATTCAGAACAAAGACATCTCTTCGCAGTGAGATATCCATTTATATAAATCCCTTTATATTAAGATATGTTAATAGACACACGTGGTGGTTACAGAGAGTCTATGTAATAGAGGGATCATTCTTGATAGAATGTCATTGATAGAGAACCTTCATGACAGTAATCCCTTCGTAGAGGTATGGTCCTTCAAAGGCATTCTCTAACAACGTTGGTTTCTTCGCTGACAAACATCTTCCTTTTGAAGAGAGACCCATTGATAGGTAAAATATATTCACAAGTGAAATTCAGCAACAGAAATGCCCCTTCATATACAATTAATTATGATTTTTTTTTTACGATATTATAACAATGCTTTTCATTTACCCTGGGAAACCACAATGAGTCTCGAGGCTGTTTTTCAGCAGGACGGGTCCTGCATTGGGGATATTTGGATAATTCCACTTGTGGGAGTTTGGCATCGTGTGGGAGGAAACCAGAGATCCCTGCAGAAAGTCCACCACGCACGGTATTCCCAGTCTTCCATCTACAACTCGCCGTCATCATCATCATCAACATAATTTCCTGTATTTCTTACCAGCTAAGAGAGATTTAAAATATTAAAAGTTTCTCTTTTGAAAGCACATCTCTGGGTGTCAAACAAGAGCTACCCAGAAATATGGTCACGTGTTCTTATCGTTGCTGATCTACCAGATTTAAAAACCCACGTTGTTCGAACATCGGTCATTGCAAAACTTGTAACCCTAGCTATTAACCCTTCCTAGAATGCTGGTTGATCACCGACGGGATGAAAAGCGAGAACGCGTGTCCGCATCATTCATTGTTTTTCACGTGCTCTGTTTAAAAAGCAAACGAACTTAGTTTTTTTTTATATATATCGAATAATCGACACCAAAGCCGCATTGCTGTGCCCTTACGCTGCTGTTCTGAGCAGCCGCTTGCGAGGCGTGGGAGCTGCCCAAAGAATTTCGTCGCGAGCCACGACCGAGCGATGTTTGTTTCTGCGCCGAAATACAGAACGAAACAAATAAACTTCATCAATCGATGTTGTTGGAAGATTCCGTGTTCACGTGTGGTTGTTTTTTGTCTGCTCGCAATTGCTCTCGGTTGCGTGTGTGTGAGAGATTCAGCCCCCCCCCCATTCCCTCTCCCCCACCCCCCCCCCCCCCCCCCTGGCGATTCAATGCACTATCGAGCGATAGTGGATATCCAGGTGGCCTGGAATCCAGCACTGTGGAGGCAGCGAGGGTTGGTCGATCGGACACAATTTTGCGAGACTCCCTTCCCGCGGGGAATGCGGTACAGCAAAGCGTGGAGTGGCAGCATGCGTCCCTCCTGCACGGGGATAGGGTGTTGTCCCCTCGCATTGCGCGGAATTTCTCCGGTCGCCCCGGGTTCCTCCCACACGAACAAACACGCAGCAATTGTTTTGAAAACATCTCAATATCTTCTTGGTTCTTTCGGTAAAGTCACGTAGAAGGGAAGTAATAAAATAATAAAAATAAAACATAATAAAATAATTATCACGACGTTTCGGCCACAACGCAAGCAGCCGTCCTCAGGTGAAAACCAGGTCTGTCGAGGCGACAGCGTCTGAATTCTACGTGACTTTACCGAAAGAACCAAGAAGATGAATCCCTGCAGTCACGAAAGCTTTAAATCGAAACATCTCAATATACAAAGAATTTCAAAGAAATTGTTGGCGCCGGCTCACCGCTCGACAGCCTTCCGGCTTCTCGCCTGTGTGAGATGACATTTGCATGAACAACGCGATGTAAAACTAATCGTTAGATTATAAGCAAAAATTAGATATCGATTCACTTACAAATAAGTTCAACACCTCGGCTTTCGCGACCAATATCATGCATAATAGAGGTGTTTTGGGTTATATCGCGTAAATATATAAATGTGTCGTTAAACCTGCCACCACCCGACACAACCAACGAGTAAATTGTAAATGTTGTGGCTTGGGCTCTCCAACACACTGGTGTGCTGTACGAGTGACGAATTGGCATGTTCTGTTGACGTAACAACCCTCACTAGTTGGTTGTCGGGTGGTGGCTGGTTTCACGACACATTTATATATTTACGCGATCTTACCCAAAACACATTCTTCTTGGTTCTTTCGGTAAAGTCACGTAGAAGGGAAATAATAAAATAATAAAAATAAAACATAATAAAATACAATTCTCACGACGTTTCGGCCACAACGCAAGCAGCCGTTATTTTATTATTTCCCTTCTACGTGATTTTACCGAAAGAACCAAGCAGATGAATCCCTGCAGTCACGAAAGCTTTAAATGGAAATTTAGTATTACCTTTTGCGTAAACACCGCGGTGAATTGCATCAGCTCGGCAGGCACGAGTGGCTGCAGGAGCCGCGTGGCCGCGTTGCATTCACCCAGGCAAAGCTTCACAAACGTCGACTGCGACGCCAGAGGTGCAATGCGTGCGCCGTGAAGCGAGTTGAATGGATACTCCTATGCCCGGAGCAAAGGGCAATCGCCTACGAACATTTGCCTTCCTCGTACGGTGACAAGAACAACGTGCAAAAGGGGCGCAGCTCCTGCAATTGCTCGCTCACACCGCTGCTGAGGGTTAGGGCCTCCATCAGAGGGGGCTCAAGAGAGCCCCCCCCCCCCCCCACCGCGTCCAGTATGTTATTACCCAGGAAAGTCTCGCCGAGTCTCAAGACTGTTTTCAAGAGGATCCGGCATTGGGATGTTTGGCCAATTCATTTATGGTTTTATTCTTATTTTACTCCTCCAGCTGATATTTCGTCACCGTGGTGTCATTGCACCACAGGTCGACAAAGAAAACAACAGCAATAAGAGACGTCATTCTTGTTCGAAATCCGTAAACAAATATTTCAAGAGCCGCAACACGAGACGGTGGTCCTTGATACAGAGCTGCAGGTTGCCAACCCCTGCCCAAGATAACCTGGATATCCATGGTAAACTGGATTTCCATGGTAAACTGGATTTCCATGGTAAACTGGATTTCCATGGTAAACTGGATTTCCATGGTAAACTGGATTTCCATGGTAAACTGTATATCCATTGTAAACTGGATTTCCATGGTAAACTGGATTTCCATGGTAAACTGGATTTCCATGGTAAACTGGATTTCCATGGTAAACTGGATTTCCATGGTTAACGGAATATCCATGGTAAACTGGATTTCCATGGTAAACTGGATTTCCATGGTAAACTGGATTTCCATGGTAAACTGGATTTCCATGGTAAACTGGATTTCCATGGTAAACTGTATATCCATTGTAAACTGGATTTCCATGGTAAACTGGATTTACATGGTTAACGGAATATCCATAGTAAACTGGATACCCATGGCAAACTGGATATCCATGGTAAACTGGACTCCCATGGGGCGCCAACCAAAATAACAAGTCGACTTTTTTTTAACGTTGATAACACAAACCCTCTACATTTCACGAGCCGCGCTGCCCTTTAACACGAGACGTTGGTTCTTAATAAACAACGGTCACGAAGCGGCCGTCCTTAAAGAGCCGCATGAAGACGAATGAGCTGTCCCACTTGGAACTCTGATCGCAGCGGACAGTGCCCCACCTTGTGTTCCCAGGTTGTCACTGCGGGTGTAATCACCGCGGCACAGGAATACCACCGCTCGCCGTCCGCTTCGCAGTGCACGTTAAAGACCTCCTGGCTTCATTCGCAAGACCAGGCGACTGTGTGCCGGGGTCAGAGTCCAGATTATGTTGCAAAATCTGAGAATGTCTCACGGTGTTACTCAACTGGGATGACACACACACAGAGCAGCAGCAGCAACCATCGCCCCCTACTGACAGGCTCGTGACCCTTGCAATCGAGACCCATCCTAGTCTCTTGTTGAGTTCTCAACTGGGCAAACAAAATCAACTTAATTTTAATTTAACTGTCGAATGGCCTCTGTAAAATCAAGTGAGAACGACGTCTGATACGGGATGGCGCCACATTCGAGCATGTCCTGACATACGAGAGGGAAATGTCCATCGCGTCTCTGCAATCGAATATAAAACTTTTTTACTCTTAGTTCTTTCGGTAAAGTCACGTAGGTAAAAAATGAAATTATAATTAATAAAAATAAAAATATTAATTTTAATTAAATTTTTATCTACGTGACTTTACCGAAAGAACTAAGAGTATGAATCCTTGCAGTCACGAAAGCTTCAAATCTAGAATATAAAACTTTTATTCTACCATATAAGGCCCACTCAATTACGCAGTTATATTTCTTTTTCAGAAGCGATCTGGCTACAAACGAACGCCCAACGAAGTGGCTTATCATTCTGTGGAAATATATCGTAGCCAGATAATCCAAACGCACGATTCTAAATGTGGACGGCGACTAAGCGGAGGACCCGGATAAAAATCCACGTTACCACGGGGAGAGAGAGAGAGACACGCAAACTCCAAATATACAGCAGCAGGCGTCGGGGGTCGGACCCACGACATCCTGCACGCCCGGCGAGGTAGTTAACATCTCACCACCGCGGTGCTGATGTTTTACATCGTCAGAGCTGTAGTTTGGCCAAGTACATGGCGAAACAAAAGTGACCGCGACGGGGAGAGGGCGGAGACATCGTGGACTCGCTCCACTTGGGAAGCCGCTTTAAGTCACGGGCGGCTGAAACCCGGAGACTCAAACCCAAGGAGCCCAGCGGTGCCTGCTCGGTGCGCGTTTGCATCAACTGGCGTGCAATTTCGCCTGCAACTCGCGTGCAACTCGCGTGCAACTCACGTGCAACTTCGCCTGCAACTCGCCTGCAACTCGCCTGCAACTCGCGTGCAACTCGCGTGCAACTCACGTGCAACTTCGCCTGCAACTCGCCTGCAACTCGCGTGTAACTCGCGTGCAACTCGCGTGCAACTCGCGTGCAACTCGCGTGCAACTCGCGTGCAACTCGCCTGCAACTCACGTGCAACTCACGTGCAACTTCGCCTGCAACTCGCGTGCAACTCGCGTGCAACTCGCGTGCAACTCGCGTGCAACTCGCCTGCAACTCACGTGCAACTCACGTGCAACTTCGCCTGCAACTCGCCTGCAACTCGCCTGCAACTCGCGTGCAACTCGCCTGCAACTCGCCTGCAACTCGCGTGCAGTTGCGTGTCCAATGCGCGACGCGTGAATGCGTCTTATTCGCATGGTGCCCGCCGTGGAGACGACCACGATGATGTCGCTGCGTTTGATGCCACCGCCGCTGCTGTTGACGACGGTCGTCGAGATGAAGACGGCGATCCTCCTGGTTCTGACATCGATCGTTCGTATGGCGCTGACGATGATGGGCTGGTGCTGCTGATGCTGCTGCTGCTGCTGCTGACGGTAATAACAAGGATCGTAGAGATACGATGTCGACACTTTAACTCGCTGACGATGACCGCGGACTTGGTGAACCCCTCTGCCGTGCGCGCGAGGCAGCGGACGAGGTTGTCACAAACTGGGCAGTAGAGCAAGTAGGTCGCGTGAGCTCGCTGTGAGCAAGTTTTATTTGTTTCGTATCGAGTCATCTCCTCGTACGAGAGGGGGTTTGCTCCGGGCACGACTCTTCACACGAATCGGTCAAAACGTCACAATGCAGGACCCTCCAGAATGAGACGTCTGTTGACTCGGTTTGAGGTTTTTTTTTCTTCTTTCCCCCGGGTGATTAAACTAGGTGAATGATCACTACAACTACAGCCCGTTTGTCCACCCACTGCGTGATGAGAAACTCCTCACGTTGTGCGGGTCCTGGGGGTTATTTGACCATACTTCGCCACGATGGTCAGTGCCGGTGGACGAGGAGGAATGTAAAGCCTTGTCGGGTTTTTTTTCTGTCAACATGCGGCTCCCAATGCTCTTTGTACAAAACACAAAAAACTCACCGCATTGGCCATTCACACTTCCTTGATATTAAACACACCTTTTTGCAGACAGACGTTCCGCGCGATGCCCCTTCTGCGGAGCACAGAGGGGACAGAGACCGGCAGATGACCGCAGATCGTGTCTGGAGAACAGCAGCGCCCCGTCGTGGTCGCCCTGGGCTATACAATTGACGCGAATACCAAAGGTAGTGAACGAATGACATTTTAGTAATAGGTTTTTACCCTTTCAACTGGTACAAAAACTGACACCTTTATACAAGGCATCATGTTTGCAATAACCACAACACAAGCAGTCAAAATGCAAACAAAAAAAAACAACTTTGATGATGATAATGATATGCACTGTCCTTGACGTTGATTGGTCCACACCCGAGACAGCTTTCCTTAAAGCCTAGTCTCCATTGGTGTTGGACCAGATGACGCCAAAAGGCGCACAACTCAAAGACAGCGCACTATCAGAGTATTGAGAGCTCGGGGTAAGCATTTACACTATGAGACCTCCTTTACTAGTGGCAAAATATACTGCTTGTGTTGTGGTTATTGCAAACATGATGCCTTGTATAAAGGTGTCAGTTTTTGTACCACTTGAAAGGGTAAAAACATATTGCTATATGTTGCCACTGGTAAAGGAGGTCTCATAATGACATCTTATTATTATCATTGCTCGAGCTGAAATTAAGAAATCGTAACTTTGCGCGTGAGATTAACAATCGTTAATTATTTAATAAATTTGTTGTCGTTTATTTATTTAGCCAATTATTTCTGCGTGACATCGGGGAGAAGTGAACGTGCCAAAGACGTCCAAAGATCAAAACAATTAAACCAATCAATGAGTGAATGACTTTAATGGGATGATGAGCTCACGCACCCAGTACCTGCCCAGCCTGTTTGTCAGAATTAGAAAGCCACGTGGGAAGGCCACGGACTTTCAGACAAATGCCTCTTTCGCTCCCACGTGAAAGGCCCAACGCAGAAGATCCACGGGGTTTGATCGCCCACGAGGCTCACGGTCCACCCTAAACCGCATCAGCTGCACACACACCATGCATGGCAGGCAGACGCGGACACACCTGATGCACAAAGGGAACATTAAAAACTCTCCCGTGTGCGACTGTGGTCATCCAGAACAGAGCATGCAAAACATATAACGACGCAATGCCTGATCCACAAATACGAAGGAGACGTCACAGCGACACACTCCGCTGCTCCTGACGCGGCTGTCTGGCTTGGCCACCTTGGCCACCTGCTCTGCGTCTACATCAGCAGCCGTGCGAAAGAAGAAAACGAAGACGAAGCTCCCATGCTCACGCGTGCGTGAGACAGACGCGAGCCGCACAGGTGGTCATTCCACACTTCTCGGGCGGGAGCCAGTATGGGTATCTTTACGCACGAAGGTTTAAACGAATGTTTGACTGCCCCCCCCCCCCCCGACAAAGTGGTACTCGCGGTACCTGTTTATCGGCCCGTGAGAAACGACGGTGGGATGAGTCGGAGTGCGCTGCAGTGCCACGCACGCGGTTGTCCTTTAAACTCGGCCACCGGGGTCTCGCCGAACCGCCCAAGCCCAATGATCTACAATCAACAACGGGAATCCCCCCACCCACCCACCCGCCATAATAATGTGGAATGTTGTCTTTATTCTTGACCGATGTCTCACAGAGACGAGACGAGAGCGCGACGCTTTTGTCCGGGGAGCGGAGAGCGACGTTCAGAGCCCTTCGCTTGCGTCGCTGCTAACGGACATGGGCAGGTGGAGAAACGATTTGCGGTTCGGGAACAAAGACCCCGACCGTTGCAACCTGTCGGAGGTGCCGGGCGGGTAGGTGGGTGAGGGGTGCGGCGCTGTCAGCGAGCACCTGTCAAGGCAAGTAGGGCGCACGGGAGGGTCGGTGGGGGGGGGAGGAGCGCCCAGGTGTCGACGATTGGAGGCTGCGTCGAACTTGGGGAAGGCTCAGAAGAGGCTCTTGTCATCCTTGCCCGGGAGCTCGAAGCGCCGTGCGCTGATTCTGCTACGCTACCGCTCCCCACGCTTTTACACGACGATAAAGCTCCACCCGCGTAGCCTTAAACAGACTTAGTCTTCTTGGTACTTTCGATGAAGTCACGAAGAGAGACAATTAAAATTAAAAATTAAATTATTATTTTATTTTCTATCTTTCAAATTTTATTTTATAAAAAATAAATCAAATACATTTTATTTTCTACCTACGTGACTTTACCGAAAGAACCAAGAATATGGATTCCTGCAGTCACGAAAGTTTTAAGTCAAAACTTAAACAGACTGTTGGAGCAAGTGCTGTGAGCGAGCACATATGAAGGCCGGAACGCCACACGAGGGGGTGGATGGCCAACACCACGCCCGGCCGCCTTTGTCTCCCCAGTATTGATGTTCATACACCACAGGAGGTTACTCATTTAACGCTGAGTCGACTTAGATGAGGCCCGGGACCGGGTCGAATATTTCGCCACTGTGATTGGTCGTGAGCGGGAATCGAACTCGGGTGGCCAGGTTCACAGCCCAGCGCGCTATCCACTACAAGTGTTGGAGCAAGTGCCGTTATGGTGGTTTATAACACGCGCCCACAGACACACACACCTCACTCACTCACGTACACACACACACACACCTCACTCACGTATACACACACACAGACACACACACCTACACACACCTGACCCACGTACACACACACAGACACACACATATACACACACCTGACTCACGTACACACACACAGACACGCACACACACCTGACTCACGTACACACACGCACGCACACGCACACATACATACACCTGACTTACGTACACAAACACACACACACCTACACACACCTGACTCACGTACACACACGCACGCACTCACAGACACACACACACACCTACACACACCTGACGCACGTACAGACACGCACACACAGACACACACACACCTACACACACCTGACGCACGTACACACACGCACACACAGACACACACATACCTACACACACCTGACGCACGTACACACACAGACACACACACACATACCTACACACACACACACCTACACACACCTGACTAACGTACACACACAGACACACACGCACATACCTACACACACCTGACTCACGCACATACCTACACACAGAGACACACACACACGCACACACAGACACACACACACAGACACACACAGACGCACACACACACACATACCTACACACACAGACACACACAGACGCACACACACACACACATACCTACACACACAGACACACACACTCTCCAAACACACCTTCGCAACGAACGAACGAGTGACCCTCTCATCCGTGAGCGCGTTCCCGCGTCGCCAGCGCGGGAAGGAGACGCGGGATGGATGGCGCGCATCTCCCTCCTCCTCCTCCCTCCCTCCTCCTCCTCTTTCTCACTACCGGCGGGGGCCGAGGGGGGGGGAGGGTGGAGGCAGGGATGGAGGTGGGAGCAGAGGCGGTTGCCGTGTTGTTGCAGAGCGTTGCTGGGGAGAGAAGGAGGAGTGTGGTGGTTGTTGTTGGAGGAGAAGGAGTGTGGTGGTTGTTGTTGTTGTTGGAGGAGGAGGTGGAGGAGTGTGCACAAGGTGAGAGACGTCAGGGGAGTCCTGGGTCTCGTGGACTCGGCACGATCCGATTGGGTCGGGGTGCAGCGGGGAGAGAAGACGGAGCGAGTCCGATTCCTTGCTGCGTTTCCATCAGTCGCGACTCAACGAGCATCGATCGGTAAGCAACGTGCAGACACAGCCTGGTGGCAAGCGAACACTGCACACTCACTGCTCGGTGTCCATGTACGCAGCAGAGTTGACACGGGGAATTCGAGTCGACTCGAGTTGCCTGCCTCGTGCAAACTCGGTCATGTCGAGCAACTTGGAGTGTCTCGATATAGGCAGAGAGGCGGTAGGAAACCTGTCGCGGGTACACGCGCAAGACGGTGACAGCGACTTGTGTTCACCGTTGTTAGTACTCAATTATCACGACTGGGGATTTTTTTTGTAATGATGTTTGTCTTATTCACGTTTAAACAACCAGTGCTCATGCTTCGTGTGGCAGGAAAGCGGAGGACCACCCCGCGTACGAGGGGGACAGCTATTCCGATCGGGTTCACGGACCCAAATGCTTTACTGCCATCTAATGGGCCACCTCACATGCAGTTTAGGGATTTTTTGAGTTTCACAAATGTTGTATGACGGCTCCCCCCCCAACCCCCATCAACACCACTGGACCCTTGCCCCCCCCCCAACTCCAGCCCCGCGACTTTCACGCCACCACATCTCCCCGTCACATTTCGAAGGCACTGTTGTCTACGTACGGTGCGAAAGAAGTCCAACATTCAAACACAACACGGGCAGGCAGAACACAGCGCGAGGCTGCACGTTCTGTCGCCCCAACGTGGCGCGCTGAAGTTGCCTGCACGGTATCCATTCCGCAGTCTGCCCCCACTCTCTTTCCCTTCCCCCACCCATCAAAAACGCTCGATTCTGAGTGGTGCGTCATCGCGCCGGCTGCACCGCGGTGATGAGGCTGCTAATAAACACACAAAATGCGCGCGTGCCGCTCTAATCAGGTGGGCGAGATTCCACGAATGCGCCCGAAACGAGCCTCGCCGATTGATGAAGTAACGCGGCACCGCGGCCACGTGCTCGCTCGGCTCTCGGTCCGTCGAGGCTCAAGGAGAAACAAGCAACGGTGGCGCCTTCCTCGTGTTCCCGCAGCCACGACCGTGCCTGGGATCGAACCTAGAAGAGGGGAGGGAGAGTCCTTAGGGGCGCGCCATCAGCGTGTGAGGTATGTGTGCGGGTGTGTCTAATCGGGCTGGTTTGGTCTGCGTAGGGCTGGAAGGAGTGTGTTGTGTGTGTGTGTAGCGCGCTGCGCTATGAACCCGGCGACCCCAGGTTCGATGTTCGCTCGTGATCATCGGTGACGATTATCTGAACCCTGTCCTGGGCCTCTCCTAAGTCGACTCGGCCTCAAATAAGTAACTGGCGTTGTAACATCGCCACAGCGGAGGCAAAGGCAGCCATTCCAAAAACAAGTTTGGCACCATTGACCTTAACCCCCGACCTTAAACCCTCTAAACCCAGAGCCTAGCCCTACTAAACCCAGAGCCGAGCCCTACTAAACCCAGAGCCTAGACCTACTAAACCCAGAGCCTAGCCATACTAAACCCAGAGCCTAGCCCTACTAAACCCAGAGCCGAGACCTACTAAACCCAGAGCCTAACCCTACTAAACCCAGAGCCGAGCCCTACTAAACCCAGAGCCTAACCCTACTAAACCCAGAGCCTAACCCTACTAAACCCAGAGCCTAGCCATACTAAACCCAGAGCCTAGACCTACTAAACCCAGAGTCTAGCCATACTAAACCTAGAGCCTAACCCTACTAAACCCAGAGCCGAGCCCTACTAAACCCAGAGCCGAGCCCTACTAAACCCAGAGCCGAGCCCTACTAAACCCAGAGCCGAGCCCTACTAAACCCAGAGCCGAGCCCTACTAAACCCAGAGCCGAGCCCTACTAAACCCAGAGCCTAGCCCTACTAAACCCAGAGCCTAGCCCTACTAAACCCAGAGCCTAGCCCTACTAACCTCTAACCAAGCCCGGGCTGTCCGAGGCTGCGTGCGAGAGGCCCTCGATGAGCGGCGATCACGCGCGTCGCAAGGATTGTCGGCCACAAACTTCGTTGTTTTGTTCGTCCCATGTGCCCGGACAAGATGTTTCGCTCCTCGCTACCGCCCGCCTCAGGTGGCATAACTCTGCAGTGGTTACAATGTCGTTACGTAAGCAGCAGCAACAACAACCACCACTACCGCCAGTGAAGCATAGTCGGGGGGGGGGGGAACTTTTTGAAATGCGTGGGTTGTCAAACAATTACGCCGTTAGCCGTGTAAATAAACCACTTTTAGAACGAGTGCTTTGCTACCTTGGGTGGTTCCAAGTGCTGTGGACTATTGAGGGTAGCTGGTCTGTGTGGGGGAGGGAGGGGGGCGGTAGTGTAGTGGTTAGGGCGCCGCGCCACGAACCCGGCGACCCGAGTTCGATTTCGGCTCGCGGGTCAACACGAGTCCCGATTGATCTGAACCGGTCCTAGACATCCCCCCCTAGATCGATGCGTTAACATCGCCAGTAGGGAGACAAAGGCGGCCGGGAGTGGTTCTGGCCGTGGCCGGGTTGCAGACTGCTCGTAAACAGCACTTGCCCCAACAGTCGTCCATGGGGGTTGTACCGGAGCGGTTTTTATGCAATAATGTTGCTACGTGTTGGCGAGTTTCGTGGCCCAGACCCCTCGCGTTCGCTATCGCACGAATGCACCGCCCATCCGCCCCCCCCCCGTCCACACCCCCGGCCCCCCTCGCCATCTGAGGAGGGCGCGAGTTCTGCAATCTGCACGTCCTTTACATCCCAAGCAAAGGCGCTGGCTGTGTGCCACTCATGAACTCCCAAAGAGCTCGCGACAAAGACAAAGACCCCCGCCGCCCCGTATAGCCTGGACAGACTGTTGGGGCAAGTGCCGTTAGCGGGCCGTCGGCGGTACCTAATGAAGCCCGGCGGTTAAAAAAAAAACTATTTAAAGGAGTTTTTTTTTTGTCTTTCCAATGGTGAAGTGTAAACAACCACACCAGCTACTCATTTGCGGCCGAGTTTGCTTGAGATGCCATTTAACACATTATTAAATGTGGTGAAATTATATTTAGGTTACGTCTAAAATATAGATACATACGTGTGTGTGTGTGTGTACAGACGCATACCATGCAATCAATATTCTTCATCTATGATTGGAATCGACGTCCTAATCATTACGTGGAACGTGTTAGAGGGGACGTTTCGGGCAATGGCCCTTCGTCTTCGTAGCACATGATGGCATTTGACGTGTGACTGTGCACCGAGCCGTCGCTCGGGCGAATCGGGAGCGACCGCCCTGGACCCCGCGCTTTTGGGGGGCGAGGGGGGGGCCGCGCTCCGACGTCACTCTGTCGGGTGTATAACTTTAGTTTCGAGGTGTCGTGGGGGTTATTTTCCCCTGGGCCCCCCCCCAACCCCCCCGGTTGTGCAACACTGCCAACGTAGCAGCGGCAACGGCAGCATCGGCAAACAATGCGTCTACTATTCGATGTAAAGCTTTCGTGACTGCAGGGATTCATCTTCTTGGTTCTTTCGGTAAAGTCACGTAGAATGGAAATAATAAAATAATAAAAATAAAACCTAATAAAATTATTCTCACGACAGACCTGTTCTTCACCTGAGGACGGCTGCTTGCGTTGTGGCCGAAACGTCGTGATAATTGTATTTTATTATGTTTTATTTTTATTATTTTATTATTTCCCTTCTACGTGACTTCACCGAAAGAACCAAGAAGATGAATGCGTCTACTTTCTATGATAACGGAGCACCACTGGGCAACCTGCGGGCACGTGGTGCGTGGCGAGGTTCCCATTTGGGGGAACGGAACTCTCTCCCGTGGAACCTCGCCCGTTCCGCACGGGCCACTCTGCAATCTCGCGTGGCTCCCCCACTCCACCTGCGTCCCCCTCCCTCTCTCTCTCTCGATGTGTTGTCTCTCTCTCTCTCTCGCGCCGAGGTGTGTGACGCCTCCTCACCCCCGCCTCGCCCCTGCACGCGGCTCTGTTTTGTGTTTTCTCAGAACGCGTTGCTCGGTGACGGCGGAGAGAAGAGGCCGCGGAGTCCCCGGGGTCGCGAGTGGAGGTGAGCAGAGTGAGGCTGGCGTGTGTATGTGTAGGTGTGTGGGTGTCTGTGTGTGTGTGTAGATGCGTGTGTGTGTGTAGAGGTGTGTGTCTGTGTGTAGGTGTAGGTGTGTGTAGGTGTGTGGGAGTGTGGGTGTCTGTGTAGGTGTAGGTGTGTGGGTGTCTGTGTAGGTGTGTGGGTGTGTGTGGGTGTCTGTGTGGGTGTCTGTGTAGGTGTGTGGGTGTCTGTGTAGGTGTGTGGGTGTCTGTGTAGGTGTGTGGGTGTCTGTGTCGGTGTGTGTAGGTGTGTGGGTGTGGTTGTCTGTGTGAGTGTGTGGGTGTGTGAGTGTCTGTGTAGGTGTAGGTGTGTGCGTGTGGGTGTAGGTGTGTGGGTGTCTGTGTAGGTGTGTGGGTGTAGGTGTGTGGGTGTCGGTGTAGGTGTAGGTGTGTGGGTGTTTGTGTGGGTGTAGGTGTGTGGGTGTCTGTGTGGGTGTCTGGGTGTCTGTGTAGGTGTGTGGGTGTCTGTGTAGGTGTGTGGGTGTCTGTGTAGGTGTGTGGGTGTCTGTGTAGGTGTGCGTGGGAGCATTTCGCCCCTGAGCGAGTGGGTCCTGCGAGTAGTGGGATGCGGGGGTTGGCGGTCGTTGCGAGTTTGTCAGCGAGTCCCTCTGGGTGCAAAAGAGTGAGCCCGTGAGTGTGTGGATAGTGAGCCCGTGAGTGTGTTGATAGTGAGCCGTGAGTGAGTGTGTGGGTGGTGAGCCATGAGTGAGTGTGTGGGTGGTGAGCCATGAGTGACTGTGTGGGTAGTGAGCCATGAGTGAGTGTGTGGGTGGTGAGCCATGAGTGACTGTGTGGGTAGTGAGCCATGAGTGAGTGTGAGGGTGGTCAGCCATGAGTAAGTGTGTGGGTGGTGAGCCGTGAGTGAGTGTGTGGGTAGTGAGCCATGAGTGAGTGTGTGGGTAGTGAGCCGTGAGTGTGTGGGTGGTGAGCCATGAGTGAGTGTGGGTAGTGAGCCATGAGTGAGTGTGAGGGTGGTGAGCCATGAGTGAGTGTGAGGGTGGTGAGTCATGAGTGAGTGTGTGGGTGGTGAGCCATGAGTGAGTGTGTGGGTGGTGGTGAGCCATGAGTGAGTGTGTGGGTGGTGAGCCATGAGTGAGTGTGTGGGTGGTGAGCCATGAGTGAGTGTGTGGGTGGTGAGCCATGAGTGAGTGTGTGGGTGGTGAGCCATGAGTGAGTGTGTGGGTGGTGAGCCATGAGTGAGTGTGTGGGTGGTGAGCCATGAGTGAGTGAGTGTGTGGGTGGTGAGCCATGAGTGAGCGGTACGTGCATCTTGTGAGTGCATTGTGAACGTGCGAGTTTGTACGCCGGTCTAAGTTTTCGCGCTTAACACGTGTGCTTGTGAAGGTGCGTGCATGTCTAAGAAGAGGTGGTTGCTAACAGGACTTGCCCCCCCTCTCCCCTGCAAGCCCGCAGGGCTACATGGGGAACTTTGTTTTTGTTTGAGTCAGTGGCCACATTATTTAGTCCCCTCCACGCATCGGTGGCTGTTATTTGACGTCGCACGGACAAATCGTCCCGAAACATAAAAAGATGAACTATGCCATTTCGTCCAAAGTCCATCAAAGTAATTCATCGCTTGTGTTTTCTTGTTTGTTGTTCCTGAGAAATGTGTGCCGAGAATGGCCTTTCACCTGTAGCAGGCGAAGCCCCAGTTGCTATCATCTTATCAGCTGTTAACCTGTAATTGTTTCATTTCTAAGCATTTTATAACACAGTCTAGAACACTCTACCGACAAATCAATTAACTTCAAATCTAAACTAAAAGCCTTTTTATTTGTCCTGGCATACGCTGGAAAAGAGGCATTTACATTATTGTCCAACTGGCTCGTAACTTTTTGGCCACTCCATCACCCCTCCAGCGAAGGTTCTCCAAAATCTGGCGAAATGTTGGGATTGTGGTCTGGGGTATGGAGACCAAACGGATTTTTTTATTTTTTATTTTCTCTGCGATTATTTTTTCTTGTTATTTTTTTTTTGCTTGATAAATAGTTGGGTTTTGTGTTTTTGTATGATCTGTGTACAGAACTGAATTATTGATGTGCAGCGCTGTGGGATGCAATTGCATGAATGACACTCTATAAAATGTCATTATTATAACGCATAAACCATGCAATGTGGTGTATTCCCAGTGCTTGGATTCGGTCGGAATGGTCTGGAATGCTTTTTCCAGGAATTATTTTGGCCCCAGCCATATCCTTCTCGCCCCATTTTAACACTGAAGGTGGTGCGTGTACGAAAAACACGTGTGTGGAAAGTGCAATGGGTGGGGGGAGGGGAGTCTGGTCTGGGGGGTAAGGGATTACCAGGTGTCCTTGCACACATTACTACAGTACTAGGATGATGATGATGAATCTTTTACTGGGCTGGTAGCCAGCCTAGCAGGAGGCAGGCTTCCAGAAGATATCAAGTGAGAAATGTGGCCCTCGCGTAATGGACTGTGCAGTGGCGTAGCGGTGTGGTGAGCATTGGCCCTGTGTGGGGAGATGTCAACTACCTCGCCTGGTATACAGGAGGTCGTGTGTTTGATCCTGACCCTGACACCTGCTCTATATTTGGAGTTTGCATGTTCTCCCCGTGGTCATGTGGACTTTTTTTTTCTCTGGGTCCTCCAGTTTTTTTCCCTCCACATTTAGAAACATGTGTTGACGGTATGTGGCTGCGATACATTACCACGTGATAAGCCACTTTGTTGAGCTATCGTTTGTGGCCAGGTCGCTTCTGAAAGAGAGTTATACAGCTCGTTGGGCCTTGCCTGGTTAAGCGCCACAAACGAGACGTGCAAAAAAACCCGATACAAAACAGAACTGAATTTTGATTTAAAGCTTTCGTGACTGCAGGGATTCATATTTTTGGTTCTTTCGGTAAAGTCACATAGAAGGGAAATAATAATATAATAATATTTATATATAATAATATAATAATATTTATATATTTTTTATTATTTCCCTTCTACGTGACTTTACCGAAAGAACCAAGAATACAAAACAGAACTGGTTGAAAGCGTGATTGTGCAGCGTTATGGAATGACAATCCATTTAAAAAACGCTTTTAATTATTTTTGTTGAATCAAATGAGGACAATTGAATCGCCGAGGGCGTGCAGATTGGCTCACTTTTGAGGCTTTTAATGCTCAATTAACATTTTGCGGGTTGTCGGTAAACTATGGCTATGCATGTGACCTAGTACCCAAAACCATAGCTATATGTATACTGGATGGTGTGTGCGGGTAGTTCACCCAGACCCACTTGGCTGAAATGAATTCCTAGTTTCTCTCTCGAGGGGTTGCTGCTGTGGTGCAACGTGTTCAGCTCGCTGGACATGAAATCCAGAGGACACCAGTTCGATCTCCTGGCACAACATTTTGAAACGGTGAGCAGAAGCAGCTTTTGCCGTCGGGTAAAATGAGGTTGCTGCTACTCTCCCGCCTCTTCCAAGGCATCTGGCCAACACGGAAGAGTAGGCCAAAGCGCCTCCTAAAGAGAGGGGCGCCCTGCCTCCAATGGTGGTGTGAGCAAGGACGTTCGGCCGGTCTGCACCTTCGCACCCCGTAGGCACGTGTTGCGCAAAGGTCGCGCGTGTCTCCGCTACAAAGGTCGCTTAAATCTCAGCCACGTGGGCTGAGGTGTCCGGGCACGGGGGCGGCAGGGGTTGCGGCTGAGAAGAGAAAGTTAGTTAAATGAGAGTTCACGGATATATTTTGCCTCCCCCCCCCCCCCCCCACCAGGAAACCTGAAATGTAGTCGTCTATAACACTGGTCAACACACTTTTTCTGGCATAAGGTATTCCAATAGTTTTAAGGTAATTTTTGGGTGCCGATTCCAAATCTGGCGTCCGTTTTTTGTCTATCACATCAGGTTTTTGAGATATCAAATATCGCATTTTCAATAAAAACTGCAGAAGAAAGATATTAAATAAATGTGGATATCTACATAAAATGATATTATAAACACACTATCCTAAAAATGCAGCACCATATTTTAACACTAAAGCAGTCACTGACTCGCAACAACTTGCAATCATAAGTGACACAGTTAATTTCGGGTAAAATCAATGAAAAAGGGGTATGCCGATAGCATAAAAATGAGATATGATAGGAGCAAATCTGAGATCAGATTTGGAATCAGCACCCTGAAATTAGTCTAAAAGAGCTGCAAAAGTCCAGGCCAGAAAAAAAATGTTTTTTTTGTTGACCAGTGTAATGGCATCTGCAAGAATCACGTGACAACGTGTAGACGAATTGAAAGCTATCGATGTTTCCCCACGATACGAGGAGGTGGCCGAGTGTTGTCGTAGGATGTTGCGCTGAGCTTCGCCCACCCGTGATGTTTAAACCGGGTTCTCGAGTGTCGTGCGGTCGATGTTCTCGGCCCCTACAGCAAAGTTTGCCATCCCGTAACCCTGTTTGCTGGGTATGTAAGCATGCACGTGTGTGTCTGCAATCGCTCCCAACCCTTTTTGACGCCAACATCAGACCACGCGGGTGTCCAAGGCGGTTTCGGAGATGGCCTTCATTTCAGCTTCCGTGACCTCTCCAAATCAGTCACTTTTCTTCAACGCCTGGTCCACAACTGTCGACGACATCACCGCCACCACGAGATCCCCCCCGGCAGAGCACGTGCACAGCCGGTGAGTGACCCCCCCCTCCCTCCCCGCCAACCCCCCCACCCGCACTCCCGTCATTGAGACTGCCTGAAAATTCAAGCGGTGGTCATTTTCCAAAAAAAAACACACCGAGAGCCACACTCAAATGTGACCGCTATTGGCCAAATCACACCATTGCCCTCCCCCCGACTGCAAAAACCTGGCATGACACATCTGAAGCCGAGACATGAGGCTGTGTAAGGCTGTGCGGGGTAAACAAGCGTTAATAATACAGAGTAAAAATAATAATAATAAAGATTGCCTGGGAATTCTGGAGGTATGCCGGCATTTTTGGATTGTCTCACGTGTGACCCAAGACTTTGTAAAGTAACTGTGAATGTGACCTTGACGGGACACGTTTCCCAGCCGCTGTGTGAACTGGCGTTGCATATTTCTGAGCAGGAAGCGTCAAACAATGCGTTCGTGTAATTAATAAACAAATAATCTCTTCCTGCAGAAAAACATTTGACCTGAACGATTCTGGTAACGCACCGGATCTGTTTGGCCTCGTCTCCCGCCTCCTGGATGAAGAGGACCCCTCGGAGACCGAGGAGTGAGCTGCCCGAACCGTTGCGGTGTCGCCATGTGCAGTAGTGTTCAATTCAGTTAATTTATTAGGCATAGCCCTGTGAGCCATGCGGCTCTTGAATCGGGTGCAACCGCAACAAACATAAACATGAACTTGTAGTGTACCGAGCGGTAGCACGCTGCGCTATGAACCCAGCGACCCGAGTTCGATTCGCGGCCAACGTCGGTGACGAATATCTGAACCGGTTCGGGGCCCCTCCCCCAGGTGGACTCATCCTCCAGTGACGACGTGGTGCGGTGTGTAAACATCGCCACGAGGTCGGCGACGGCAGCAGGACGTGGTGTTGGCCACCCACCCCTCCGTGTGCCGTGCCAGCCTTCGTAGGCCCTCTCGAACAGCACTTGCCCCAAAAGTCGGTTGTAAGGCTATATCGGGGATCTTTGTGTCTTGGCGCGTGCCACGTGCAAGTTGGCACAGCTGAGACCCTGCGGTGAGAATGTGGGTTTTTCATCCGTCCGTAAATGTGAACGGGGTTCACACGTTTGTAGCCAGTAAATGTTCTCGGCCTGCTCGCCAGTGGCTATCGCAATGGCACTTTGCTGGGGACTAAAAATCTAAGTGTTTTCTTTTAACTTGCTATAAATAACCGTTTGCGGGGCGTGTAAAAAGGTTTTGTGCACTTAGTGTGGACAAAGCAGAGTCTGTTGGAGAGACTTCAAAGGTAGTTCCACCACGTCATCTTTCCGGGGCCGGGGTGGTGCCCTGTGCACTTGGAGAGTTCGGAACGGACATTTTATAATCTTGTGACGCACCTCCAATGGCACGGCTGGAATCTAATTATTCTCAGCCTTGGTGAATCCGCTGCTGTTTGAAGGATTCCCCCCCCCCCCCAAAACCGTGTCTGCCATGGGAGTTGTTTGACCATACTTCACCATGCAGGTCAGTGCGGGTTGGTGAGGGGGGGGTAGGTCCAGGACCGCTTCCGATACCACTCTTTGGTAATGTCGTCCATGGCCAGGAATCAAACGGGTTGTCGGTGGACTCGCAGGGCAGTGTCAGCCACTCCACCAAATTCGGAACACAGTTGGAGGAGAAACTTAAATGACGATTTAAAGCTTTCGTGACTGCAGGGATTCATCTTCTTGGTTCTTTAGGTAAAGTCACGTAGAAGGGAAATGATAAAATAATAAAAATAAAAGATAATAAAATACAATTCTCATGACGTTTCGGCCACAACGCAAGCAGCCGTCCTCAGGTGAAAAACAGGTCTGTCGGAAAGACAGCGTCTGAATGAACACCACCAAGCTTGGCAGCGACAAAGGAATTCCTTTGTCAAGGCGCTCTCCTCCTCTAACCCAGCTTAAATATACGCTGCCAAGCCTGGTGATGTTCATTCAGACGCCTCCTAATGCTCAAAGCTCTGCACAGATGTATTAAAGAATCCATCTCCTGGCCACCTCGGCACCTGGTACTCCTGGGAAGTCTCCCATCCGAGTATTAACCAGGCTCGACGAACTCGGCCTGCGAGATTTAGTGACATCGGAGCGTATTTGGTAACGGGGTAACTTAGTAACCATTTAATAATGTGGTGGTGGTGGTTGTTGTTGTTGTTTAGAAGGGTGCCGTCTCCAGCCCCGCACAGCTTGCCCTGGCCGCTGCTAAACCACGCAGCTCCTCCACCACTCCATCTCCCGGCGCACGTGCCTTCCGCAACGTCTCCTCCACCACCTCCCTGGCTCCTCCCCGGCGGGGGTGTGCTGGCAGGGCCCTCGTCTCGCTCGGCCGAGCAGCCGAGCGGAGCGGTGGATGTGCGGGGGACGCCAGGGGCCGTGAGCACCCCGCCGGGCCGGGGGACTTCGCGCTTCCTGGGACGCACCATGGAGGGGCTGTGTCTCCATGAGCGGGCGGCAGCGGAGGAGGAGGAGGCGTGCGTGGCTCTCTCGTCGTCCCTCTTCAACTCCGCTATGCACACCTTCAGGGCCGGGCTTCCTCCGCCCGACGGCTTGATGCGGTACAACGAGAAGACGTCGGCAGAGATGACGGCGATGATGATGATGATGCGAGACGAGAGTTGTTCGCGGCCAAATTACTTGAAGGGGAATTCTAACCAGAGTTCCGGCAGTTGCTTCAGGAGGCCGCTCGGCTCCCGGAACTGTGTGGAGGTCTCTCCGTTCAACCGCCAGGTTGTCGACCCCACGATGATGACGCCGAACCTGCTGGCGGATGATGGGACGATGACGACGTCAGCGGTGGCCGGGATGAGCAGGCAGAGGGAGCGACCCTGGCATCAGTGGAGCCATTACAAGTCGGGCGCTCACAACAAAAGCGATGGCCCTTTTGCCAGGCCGGCTGACGGCGAGTGCCACTCCGCGCCAGTGTTTGGCAAGTTGACGGCAAATGAGCACGAGGAAGAACCGCGAGGCGGGCTCGGGTGTGTGGCACCACCGCTGCCACCACCACCACTGGCGGTGGCTCCACAGGGGCCACCGCCGCTGCCCTTCGCGTCCGTCCAGAGATTTGACGGCAACCCGAGACCGAACCGGACCGACTGCTTCCGCGCAGAGGCATCGCCGGGCTACCCGGGCTCCCCAGGCGTTTCCTTGATGGCGCAGAGCGGCGCGTTCCCTAACCGCGGTCGCTCTGCCGGCGACTTCGCGACGGTGGGGAGCGGCACCGGGCCCAGCTTCGGCGGCAACAAGTACAGCCGCCCCACTCGACACGAGGCCACGGTGCGTCAGGCAGTGACGGGGTCCCACCGTGGCGTCGACACTGAAAGAGAGCAGTGCAGTTTCCTCTCCTGTCCATTCAACTGCCGCAAGCAGCAGCAGCAGCCAGCGTTGTCACCCCCGAGTTGTCTAGCTCGGGGTTACTCAAACGTGGGCCCCCGTGGCTTCTCGCTTCTGTTTGACCGACGCAATGGCAAGCGGCCGTCCGAGACGCCGACGCCGCCGCCCAAGGGCGGCAGCCCTGAGTCGCAGCTGCACCCGCCGTGCTGCTACCCCGGCTACACGTACAGGAGCGATGGAAGGCCGCAGCTGCCACCGCCAGGGCTGCCACCGCCAGGACCGCCACCGCCCGCTGCGCCACCCTCCAGCGACTCCCCGCCGTTTGCATTCGGCCCCCCGTTCGGCTTCCCGCCGCCGCCGCCGCCCCCTCCAGGCGCCGGTGAGCGGCGCGTGTTCAGGCCCTGCTATCCGAGCACGGTCTTCCCGGACCTGTTCTACGGCGAGCTGGCATCGGGGCTGTACGGATTCCCGCTGCACTACGGCCTCTTGAAGCCGGCGATGAAACCACGCAGCGGCCCCGCCAACGAGCTCCACAAGCACCTGGAGGAATCGTGCGAGCAGTGGAGGGGCCTCGAGAAGGAGAGGAAGAAGGTGGGGGCACCCCTGCGGGCAGTAGTTGATGGTGGTGGTGTTGGGGAGCGGTAGTGTAGCGGTCGGCATGCTGCACTACGATCCCGGCGACCCCGGGTTCGATTCGCACTCGCGGTCAACACCAGTGACGATTATCTGTACTGGTCCTGGGCCTCCCCTAGGTCGACTCGGCCTCAATTGAGTACCTTGTGCAATGTGTAAAAATCGCCACTAGGGAGACCAAGGCGGCCGGGCTTTGTTCCGGCCACCCACCCCCTCGTGTGCCGTTGCGGCCTTCGAAGTTCCAGACTGTGCGGCTAACAGAGCAGAGCAATCGATTTCCCCTTGCACCTCCGCTGTGGTCGCACAGCTCTTCCAGCCACGGTGCGCCGGTTTCGCGTGCCGCCCTCTCAACGGGAGCGTCGGTGGAACCAGGTCGGGGGGCGAGCTTCGTGATCACTCCTCGTGTGTGTGTGTGTGTGCGTGCGTGCGTGGACACGCATGCCAGGCGGAGATGGAGCTGACGCGGAGCTACCCAGGGAGCCGCGTGCCGGGCCCCATCGGCATCGCGTTGCCGCGCCTGCCGCCCAATCCGTCACGCGTCGACCGGCTCGTGGTGGACCAGCTAAGAGAGAACGCCAGGGTACGACCCGTGATGTTGCGGGGGGGGGGGGGGGTGGGGGGGTGAGGGGGTCGTCTTGCCCCTGTCTCTGGCGCTAAATTTCTCCAAAAAAATGTCTCACTCGAAGTCGTTGGGTCCACTGGAGCTGGTGACGTGACCAGTGTAATATACTGGATGATGTGGTGTGCCGGGTGGGGAAATATCGTTTCCACTGCTGAAATGGGAGCCGTGTTTGTGTCCGAGGAAATGCAGCCCAGAATGTGTGAGCTTCCGCCTCCTGGGCTTTGTAACATTAAGTTTGCTAAGACTGGCGTCTAATTTAGCAGGCTACTAATTTGTCGATGTGACATGTTCATGATGCTTGCACTCGTGGTACATGCACAAAAGTGAGCATCTAAGAATACATTATTTACAGTTTTTTTTGCAAAAATGATGTCCAAATGCTTCATTAGAATACGAATCGATGAGACGTGCGTGCTGTGAGATTGATAATCGACATTGGTCGATGCAGCATCGTTGCGCCCCGAGTCCAATAACTGACAACATCGGGCCGTGTGGCACGATGGTCAGAGCGCTCGACTCGGCCCAATCGTCGCCTTGCCTGCAGAAGTTTGTTTATTCAGGACTTGTGGTAATGTAGATTTCGTTTTGAAGACTCACCGAGCCGAGCATCTGTGAAAAAGAGCTTTGTAGCTTATCGAATTCCTCCAGTGAAACAGATATCCTGATTCTGATCGGCGAGGCAGTGAATTGCATTGCGCTGAGCTTCTTGAAAATCGTAAACCTGAGAGCAGAAACCAGACAAAGTGCCAGGTCGGTCTCTTGACTCGCTCCCCTCGCCGTGTGCCGCTGCCGGCTATCGCTGGTGCAGGTGGTGGCCGTGCTGGGCCACGTGGAGGCCCTGCTGGGGCAGTCGCTCCCTGCCAGCGTCGTGCGTGCGCTGGCGCGGCACGTGGAGGTGGTGCGCGGTGTGCAGGATGCGAGGCGCAGCGAGGTGATGAACGCCGCCCTCCGGCATAAGCAGGGAGCCCCGCGGCACCGCTGTGACAAGGGTGAGGATGACGGTGGTGGTGGTGGCGGAGAATTGTGATACCGATGACGGTAGTGGTAGAAGTGGTGATGACAAGGAGGGGATGATGATGAACATTGATGGGAATGAGGATCTGTCTGCGTTGCTGCTGCTGCTGATGGTTGTTCAACTTCATTTGAATTTTCGTGACCGGAATCGTCCTCGTGACCAAAGATTTTTTTAACTTCCGTTCTTTTAAAAAAATTTCAATTGCATGCCAATGATTGTGCACGTGGGCACACAGACGTCCTGGCGCTCGCCTACTCGGTGCGGGCACTTGGTGTGGCGACGCGCCGGGCCCGCTTGGCGCTCTGGTGCGGCCTGCAGCTCGGCCTCCCCGAGTGCCTTCGCGGGGACGCGGCCACTCACGCCGCCCTGAAAGAAGCCCTGCGTGACCTCGACTCGCCTCCTCCGCCTCCGCCTCCACGTCCGCCTCCGCAGCCTCCCGCTCTTTACGGCGGCGGCGGCACGGAGGGCACGCCGGCGGGCGCCGTCTCGCCTCGCCCCCACTGCGAGCCCAACCAGCGCGGTGGACAGGCCCCGCAAACGGCGTTCGGCATTGACGATGGCCGCGACGATGTCGATGATGGTGAAGGAGGAGGAGGTGCTTAGAAGAAGCGGCGGTGGCGGCTGCGAGTTTCTCCTGCTGCAAGGGACTCGAGACGTGTTCTTTCCGAGTCGCAGATTTGGAGGGAGGGGGGGTGGGGAGGAAATGAAATAGTTGTGTTTATTAATTTTGGGTCTAGTTTTTTTTTGTTTAGATGACTTTATTCGCAGACGGGTGGTTGTCCGCACCTTCGAATACCGGTCGGGGGTCGACTCGGCTTGTCAAGTCACTGGGGTCGATGAAGTGTAACACTTTTTTGGGAAAGTCACCAGTCGTTGTCGTGGAGGCAGACTGGTCCTTGTCATAGGAACGTAGAATATCCACCACTGGATTAGAGCTGTAAAGGGATGAACAAAGGTCCCGCACTCGTTTTAGTGGGAAACCACTTTTTCTTTAACTTTCTATTGAGGTCACGTGCAGCGGCGATGTTTCGTTTATTGAAGAATCGCATGTGTGCACGTGCATCCCCGCGAGCCTGGAATGCACGACCGTGTGTTAGTTGTGGTGATTGGAAATCTAGATTATTTAACTTTTTTGTAGCTTTCTTACAACCAAATCTCCCGAAATGCGCTATTTGAAGCTGGGCCGGGTTGATCCTGGTTATCACTTAGATGGGTTGACTGCCTGGGAATGCCAGGGCAGACTTGGGGGGGCTGTGTGCTGGCCATGCGATGGCAATAAAAACAATGGATTCTTGAATTTATCTGTGCTGAGCTTTCAGCAGTTCCGAGTACTCTATGGTTTCCTTATTCCAATGCAGGACCCTAATTAAGAAAACCTGGAGACTGAGGCTTTCCGGGGTAAATCATTGGGGTGTTATTATTGTTAACTCTGTCATGTACAAATTCAGAACCGCGTCGCGTGGAATGTTCATTTTGACTTTGGCGATTTTATATTTTGACGAAATCGTGATGCGACGAGGCGATCGACGCGAAAGTGCGTTGCAGAAGCGGCGGCATGAATGGCGTAGGGGCATCTTCACCTAGCGGCAGACAGAGCTTGGCTAACTGATTTTATTGAAGAGTCAAAACCATCGTAAACTAGACGTAGTGTGCTACTAGTTTAATCGGTCGTGGCTGCCGCTTGCGTGCATACCGTATTTATGTGCTTGGCGTCTGCTCCGTTGTTGACTTGGCTGGCAGGTTGATTCTGGCACGTGCTAAAATCTTACTGCGTTAGCCGCCGAATTCTCACTCCCGACGGTGGTGGACGGTGCTTTTATTTATTTATTTTAAAAAGGAGTGTCATTTCTTGGGAAGCCTCGGGTCCCAGCGTGACCCCCATCGTGGTTTCGCGTTTTTAGTTTTCACTTTTTTTGCGTTTTAATTTCGTGGGTATTTTTTACGTCTCGTCTACTCGTGTTTATTTTTTTTATATACGGTCACTTGATAACGGCGTCCTGAGCGGTGCTCGTATTTATATATATATTTTACGAGTTGAAACGATCATGATTTGTCGTTGCGCTTTAGTAATCGTAACGATGTTTGTAGGTGCGTGGTGGTCTGGCACCCGCTGGGTTCCATGGGGACAGAGCGAGCAGTCGGCTGTTCGACATCCTTTATTTTAGCAGAGAGAGACGGGTCCGTTGAGATTCACAGGTTCATTTACGCAAGGGAACTCCCTGTAGTCTGAAGTTACTTACGGGGGGGGATGTGTTCCCGAGTGGTGATGTTACAATTGTCTTAACAATCATTAATGATGTTAATTTTAAGTCCTTTGGGCTGTGCAGTTTACAATACGTTGGTTCTCACACTTTAGCGACGTCACAAGAAGTGCCTGAAAGTCACTTTATGAAGTGGGTACTTTATGTTTTCCCGCGAAATGGAGTTTCAGAACTCGCTCGGGAGATGCATCTTGGATGCGTATCTGCCCGAGCCCACTTTCTTTCCTCAAGTCCATGCCTTGCCACGGACTTTCGTTTGCCCTGATCCACTCGTTTCTCTCGGTGTCATTCCAAATATGTATCTTTGCTGTGCCCCTGGCATGCGTGTGCTGCGTAATCACAAAACCGTATTATGTTGTGTGTGGCGTGTGTGTTTTGAGAGTGAATCTCTGCGTTATCTCCTGGAGATAACATTCCTAATGAGCACAGTGAGTGGCTGAACCAAATCCTCGTGCACGATGTTTGCGCTTGAATGTAAGATAATGATGATGATGACGATGCCGACGATGGTGATCGTCTTGGTTGGGTGCTACCACTTCGTTTTGTATTTTTGGAGCGAGTTCCTTGCAGCAGGAGTTGGTTGTAATTTGATTGCTCCGTGTGATTTTTTTTTTTTTGTGGAGCAACCGTTTGACAGCGTAGAGGTGCCTGTTGGAGTTTGACTTGATTTATGGTACTGCATGTCCTTTTATTTAACCACTTGCAAGGCCTACAGTGTATTAATATTAGTAGAACACGTTGTTTAATATAATGGAAATTATATTATTGAGCTTTTGCATGTGCCTTTTCTATGATACTCTTAATTATTTCGGTAAAGTCGCGTAGGTAAAAAATGTAATTCAAATTAATAAAAATAAAATAAAAATCACGACGTTTCGGATGCAATACCAAGTCTCCGTCATCAGGTGGGACCGTCACCGCTAGATTTGCTGCATCAAGTCACTTGATGCAGCAAATCTGGCTGTGACGGTCGTGATTTTTATTTTATTTCTATTAATTTTAATTTCATTTTTTACCTACGTAACTTTACCGAAAGAACTAAGAGTATGAATCCTTGCAGTCACGAAAACTTCAAATCTAGAACTTTTCTATGATGTTTATGTCGGGTATTGTTTTTTATTTCGGAGCAAGTGGCTGGTCTGCTCCTGGGCCCTTCATTCAACTGACCAACGTGGTGCAGTGTGCTCAAATAATCCCCATGAGCGACAATGGTGTGGGGAGAGAGGCCTTTCATCCAGTCGTGGATTCTTGACCAAAGGGGCTTAAAATCATTGTGGTCCTTTTATTTAACGGGGTGAGAATCCTCTGGGATTATGCCTTTTTTTATACAGTGTTTGACTTAAGTTTATAAATGATTATTTACACCAGGTATTCATTAATCTGAAAGTGTTCTGTAGTGTTATTAGAAATCAGCCGTTAGTAGGGGTGTGACACTTTCCCCGCTGCCCCGGGGCAAGTCGATGAAGTTGCCACGAATTGGGGGGGGGGGGGGGTCATGATCTGATTTCTAAAATCGATTTTTTTATTTTTTATTTTACACGATGGTGAAATTATAGATAGCATCATCAGTTCAGACTCGCAAGTTGATTTGTTTATTTCGTTTCTCATGTTTTGCCGCTTGACCCGTGACCTTGGGTTTTTTGGAGGGAAAGTTTGCAACATCCCCCCCCCACCGTCGCTTCTCGCCTTCGCCAAACCCGCACTAAACCCAGCGTGGTGAAGGATAATCGCGACCCACCCACACACCCCGCCTGCCCGTGACCCACACGGAGCGCGTGTGGGGAGGCGGTCATCATCCAGCAGGAGGTGTTCTCGTGTGGAGATGCTCGCCTTGTCCAGTAGCCGGTGATGAAAAGTGCGTTTGTATTATTATTATTTTGTTGTTGTTGTTGTTGAACCGTAGTGATTGGTTGGTTGTGAGGTGTAGGTTGCTGCTCTGATGTTGTTGTTACTATCCCAGGCATAATCCACTGCCTGGTGGCGTTTCCTAAAAGATGACAATAAACGGAAACGAACAGCAAGGGATGGAGACGCGTCTCACGATTATTTATTCAATCGGCTCGCAGTGCTGCAACAAAGCCGGCATCGTGAATGAATCGAGTCTCCAGCTCGTGTTTGTGCCGACGGGGTCACTACTCTCCCCCCCCCCCCCTGCTTGTAAGGGGAGTGCCCTCGTCAAATCAGGGCCTAGTAAAACCGGTGACTGTGTAGGCATCATGAGTTCAGCTAAGTTTAACACGCACAGTAGGCTTTTGCGACCAATATCATCCATAATAGAGGGGTTTTTTTGGGGGGGGGGGGGGGTTATTAGATCGTGTAAAATCTCAAGATTGTAAATTTTGTAGCTTGGCTCTCCAACACACCGGTGTGCTGTACTAGTGACGAATTGTCCACATTCTGTTTACGTGACAACCCTTACGAGTTGGCCGTGTCGGGTGGTGGCGGGTTTTAACGACACATTTATATATTTACGCGATCTAACCCCAAAAAACCTCTATAGTTCAACTTAGCCTGGCTTTGCCGCCGGTAAATATATTCCTCAAGAAGATCCCAAATGGGCTGATAGCTTTAAGAATGTAAATTTGATCCGGTGTAGATGCAGAAAAGAGGGGTTATTATTTTTGTCATACGAACACCGATAGTTTATGCATCCCCTTTTTGTAAGGTTGGGTGGGTTCATGGTGGGGTGAGGTGACATTTGCGAAAGTGCGTTATGGAGGCCGTCGAGGTGAGGTTTGGGGGGGGGGGGGAGTCGAGGGTGGTGAGTTTAGGCGAGACGAGGTGAGTGCAAAGGTCGAGATGTGTGCCGGCGTAGGCAATTTGAGTGAAGGTGAAGCGAGGTACGTGAATTTGCTGTTAGGCGAGTGGGCGATGCTCGCTGTTGGGCGAGTGTAAAAATCCGAGGTGAGCGCGTGGCGGTGAGAGGTGATTGTTTTTTCGTGAGGTGAAGGCGAGAGGCGAGTAGTGCGTGAAGGCGCACGGTGAACTGATGCGGTACGGGAGGATGTGGAGCCAAGTGGGCTTGCCGGAGACTGATACCAGCGGTGTCAAGATCGGTCTGTGTGTGGAGGAGGCTCGTGAAGAACGCTGCCACTGGACAGTAGGAGGCAGTCGCCCTCCAGCAACAACGGAAGGCGGAGAAGCGACGCTCGCAACAACGAGCGGAGCGCCGGGCGGATAAAATGCAGCAAGTTGGCACAGTCGGGGGGGGGGGGGGGGTTACAGCTTGGTGGCGCATCTACCGGTCATCTCAGACGGCCAACCCATGGCACCTGCTGGGTCTGTCCCGTGACCACCTCCTGTCAGCGGCGAGCTTTCGACACTTCACGTGGCATCGGTGCACCTGGCCTGGCACAGTCGCCGTGGTGACGAGCCACAGCGACACGCGCGCGCCACCGATGGCGCGGATCACGAAGCCGCGGGCACGGGGGTCGTGGGGCGTCAGCGCCACGCGACGGAGCCGCTTTAATTCGGGGTCGCGTCGCGCCTCCTCTGCGGGGGGCGGGGGGGGGGAGTGTAATGACGCAATTTATGTAATAAAGGTAACAAGTGACTTGTGCATTTTTTTTCCGTCGGGTTGTTTAGCCATACTTCACCACGCTGGTCAGTGTTGGATGTTTAGTTTGTTGTCCTAACCCTTCCCCCCTCGCCTCTAATTAACATGTTTAACACGTCGGCTTTCGCGACCAATATCATCCATGATAGAGGTTTTTGTGGGGGGTTAGATCGCGTCAATATATAAATGTGTCGTTAAAACCCGCCACCACCCGACACAGCCTACTAGTGAGGGTTGTCACGTAAACAGAACGTGCCAAGTCGTCACTAGTACAGCACGTCGGTGTGTTGGAGAGCCAAGCCACAACATTTACAATCTGGCCGCGTACGGCGCACGAAAGAAGTTCAACAAACATCTACAACAGAGACGGACGCAGACTCATCTTAGATATCATGGCCAACATCGCTCACCGATGTTGGTCACCGATGTTGGCCATGCACCACATTAGTATTCGTCCTACCGATTTTGCAAACGATTATTAAGATCTTAATCCACCCTCGTTGACGAACCCGACGAAACAAAAAACGAAGCGTTCGAATTACAATGACCGCAAGCCAAGTAACTTAATTGGAACGCGTTACCGTCCGGCACGGGCAGTAAGATGAACTCTGCCTTCGCCACTGCCCCCTGCTAAGGGCATCTCCTTGCCCTCTGGGGCGGGCGCCACCCGCCAGACCACCTCGTGCGCTCTGCCCAGGCCCTCGACCAGAGCGTCGGGGCTCAACGCGGGTGGCCCGCGATGGAGGCCCAGACCCTGGGCTATGCGACCTCTGACCTCCCGTAAGAGCACCTCCCAGGGGTCCGTCTCGAGCTCTCCCTCGCCGCGCTCGCTCGACGGAGCGATCTCCTCCTGGGCAGCGCAGGGGCTCGAGGCGAGGACGCAAGAGACGACGACGATGACGATGAGAGCGCTGCAAGGCCCCATTGTTGGGGCGGATCGGAGAGCTTCTGCGCTCACCGCGGTGCGACGACCAGGGTTTTATAGTCCACGAGTGCTGATACAAAAAATAAATTTAAGAAAGAAAGAAACGCCCGTAGACGTTTGGCTGCTGGACGCGATTCGGAAAGCGAGGACCCACGGCTGGAAACTCGATGGGGCAGAATCGTAGCGATAACATCCAAGGACATGGGGAGGGGAGGCGCGAGGCAGACGCGTTCCAGCAATTCCCCGCGCGCCGATATTTCTCTAAATTCGCCCGTACTCGGCGTATATATCAAAAACAAACGTTGGCCCTGCGGCTGGTTAATTAACTTAAATTGGGTGACCGCCACGACTTGACCACGTGCTGCGAGCGTGAGGGGGGTGGGGGCTGCGAGGTGTAGCTCGGAGCTGGCGGTGCCGAAGTGTCTCTCCTATGCGTGGTGGGGTTTATCCCCCGGGTTGTCCAGTCTCCCCTCCGCATGAAGGCAAACTCCCAATAATGGAATTTGCTAATCCTGCCGAAGCAGGAAACCCCTGAACAAGTCTTGAGACTCGGCGAATGGGCGTATTTGTCGCATGGTTGTTGTTGTGTTTGTGCTCCGATCTATGATGAATCGTAGAAAATGCTAAGCAGTCCAAAGATCGCTTTTGAAAGTGTCTTCCTGTTTAAACTGGTGGTACGAATTCCACATTCTCATGGCTGGGGCAAGTCTAATCACACACAGGACGACCGCTTTACACATGGTGGATTCTACCCGACTTATTCATGATTCCGAGTCGACTCACGACCGGGATTTGAACTTGCAACCCTAAGAGTCACGAGTCGAGCGCTGTCCGTGCAGCAGCAATGGCATCATCGCCAGCCACGGTCCGTACCACGCTGGATGAAGCTACCAAGTTCAACAAATCCATCACGAGCCGATCTCGTCGCTTCATCTCCACAAGGAGCGTCCTCTCGGGCGCGTCCCCACCCTCGACCGCCACTCCGTCGTCCGCCAACGCGACGGGCTCGAGGCTGCGCTTGATCTCGGGTCCACGTGGTTCGCGTCTCTCTGGCTCTCAAGGCGATCGCCGTCGCAACCTTTCCGCCAAAGACGCAGGATCCCCCCCACCCCCTACCGTGTAGCCTTAGCAGACTACTGAGGCAAGTGCCGCGGTGGCCAGCACCACGCCCGACCGCCTTTGTCTCCCCAGTGGCGATGTTGACACACCGCACCGGGCACTCGCTTGAAGCTGAGTCGTCCTCGAGACCAGTTCGGACACCCGTGAGTGGGATGCGAACTCGCCGGTCCCCGAGTTCTCATAGCGCAGCGCACTAACCGCGACACCACCGCTCCCCACGCACAGACAGAGGGGATGAGAGCCAGAGCGGAATGCACGACAAGCAGGCAGGTCGTGGCGTGAGCTATTCCGTTTAGCGTTTGCTTAGCATTGACCATCGTTCCCCAACCCTCGCCCGCTCCCCCCCCCCCCATGTGTCTGAGCCCCCCCCCCCATGTTTCTGAGCCCCCCACCCCGGTATGGACGCTTTACATGGAGGCAGCGACCTCCTTGCACTCCGGGGGAGACGAACAGGAATTCGGTGTCGCGTCTATGAATATGTAATAAAGGACTCGACCACGATGTCTGGCTTGGTGTCCTTTATTCGGTTCTTCTCTCTTAACCCGCACGGCTGTCCTTCTATAAGACTCTATACTGACACTGATACTGCTCTCCTGCAGTTTCTCCCCTCGTCGTTCTCTCAGCCTCTCTCTCCTCTCGTCGCTCTCGTAGCCTCTCCCTCACACACAGCCTCGCCGGCTGTGTTCCCCGCAGCTCCTCGTCCGCCTTCTCTCCAGCCGCCCCACCGCTGTCTTCTCTCGCAGCTCCGCTGGCTGCTCCCTTAGCTGGCCACCGCTGGCCGCCGCTGCCACCCCTTGGCTTTGCCCACGTGGCCTTACTCTGGTCCAGTCCCACTCGTTCTGCCTTCCTCTTCCGGTCTCCTCCCTTAAGAACCTTAACCTTTCCTCCCACGTCACCTAACTCCACCTCTCCGTGACGTCACATCCGGGAGGTCGCCCGCGCCCGCATTACACCACCCTCCCCCGTGGAGAAAAACCCAGCCGACCTCGGCTGAACAACACCAACAGTAATGCGGGCGAACCCGAGCGTAACACACCAAAGGACACCAAGCATGCAATATAACAGTAAGAACAATCAACACAACTCAACAATCAATAACGTAGCAGAAGCAGGCAATAAATACACAGTAAGAACAATACAACATAACAATCAACGAAACACAAGGGATTTAGAGCGTGTGCGGGTCGCCGGCCCGTCCCGGACGGTCGGCGGCCCATCCGCGGAACGGGAACGTGATTGAGTTTGAGGAGCGACAGGGTGAAATCCCCCTGTCGCTGTTGGAAGTCCACCAACGTCCCGTGTCCTTGAAGGATCAGTCTTGGGCTTGTCCCGCGGATGCGTCTGCAGCGGGGTCGGAAGGGCTGCAGGGCTCGAAGGACCCGCAGATCTG